ATTTGAAAGGGAGGCCGACATTTGAAGCCGATGATCAGTCGGCTTTGATTTACTTGTTGCTTTCACAAAAGGATCAATGGATAGACAAAGTTCTCATTGAAAATCAATAGTATTTGCATGGTTATTGGGCAGGGTTGGTTGATAGGTACGAAAAGATGTTGAAGAAATATCATCCGGGATTGGGAGAAGAGAGGTGGCCAGTTGTGACTCATTTTGTTGGCTGCAAGCGCTGTGGGAGTTACGGAGATTACTCTGTAGACAGGTGCCTGCGCATCATACAAAGGGCTTTCAATTTTGCCGATAACCAGGTGCTTAAGCTTTACAGATTTAGACATAGGGGATTGTTAGGCCCCAACATTAAGAGGATCAGGGACGACACGACGTCTCCTTTGGAGATTGTTGATCAGCTCGACAACCGTCGTTCATTGAATGGAAAAACCGAATCAAATAGCTAGTGATTGAAACAGGTATTAATCACATCATATAGGTAATGTAGTTCCTCAGGTGACAAGCAACTTCAGTTGCCATACATTTCATCTTGGTTGGTATAATCATATTGAATTCAATGAAGAGTTATTGTGTTCATGTCTTATTCGTCGAGATGCGAAAAAGGGGTAATAACGAAGAGGGAAGCATAATTTATGCCAATAACTAGTCGTTTAGAATGTTTAGTTTGTTATTATCATTTACTCTGATCGAATCATGTACATTTCTTCAGGTTCTCGAGTTCTACAACGTAGTGAGATTTAGTGTCTTTTATTAGTACCTCACTATGTTGGGATGAACAACGCATTCCTGGCTCTGGTATGCATTTGTTATATTCTTGCAATGTTCTTTTATCAGTTCATAGCTTATATATACTGAAATGGTGCCATTGTTAACTGTAATGCTAGAGCCATACAAGGTTTCAAATTTCGTTTTATTTCTCGGGTTTAGTTTCAAAAAATCGAAAGACTTCTCATTTAGCTGCAAAAGTTCCTCGAATATTGATTCGAACTTGTCACTTTAGAGGTTAAGAGCCACTACCTGAGGTTTCATCTATTTGTTCATTCTGATGTATAGCAAGCGCTAAATAAAAATGAATTTTATCAGATTTAAATTTCCCATATTTAAATTTTTCTCGAGTTCAATTTTTCTCAAACTCGAATCAACACTTACAAACTATTGGGTTCAAGGTTGCTTTGCCGGCTCTAGTTATATTTAAATAAAAATGAATTAACATTAGCGTAAATTAGTTTTATATGCTTGTATATTTGATCTTTGCATTCAGCAAATATGACATAATCACTCTTATAAAAGTTTAAATCATTCAACAATGATCATATCAATCAAGGAAAGTATTACTATTTTTCTAAACATATATTGAATGATGAATTATTTTCACTTATTAGTTGAAGATGCTTAAATTAATCAAAACTCGAAATACATGATTTATGTAAAAAATAAAAATAAAAAGAATATATGCTATATTTATCTTCGGTAAATTACAATTGCATAAATTTACAGCAGTGAAAATCATTGATTTTGTTTATTTCTTTCTTTTGGTACAAAGCTATGAATGTGTGAGATCAATTTATGCCTATGAGTTAAACTATAACATAAACAAGGACAATTTTATAAAATATACATTACAGTAATTTTTATTCCTTCAACCAAACACTGTAATCTTACATTCCTGCCAAATAAACCAAACACAGTAATATAACATTCCCAGTAATGTGTTAGGTAATGTTACATTCCGGTAATCCTATTCCCAGAGGTAATCTTACATTCCGTAAACCAAACGCACCCTAAAAGTTCAACTTAAAAAAAAAAATCAATTAACCAAACAATGTCACATTACATCTACCATCGTCTCTGCCATGGGCATTTCTATGTTCATAGCTGTTCATCAATCAATTACCATTAATGACGTTGACTACAATAATGCTTACGTACCAATTTGCGACCTCCAAGAGAAGAGCTAATATTTTCAACGCTTTAATTATTAATTAACAACCATTGACTTTGATTAAAAATCATTTATTTATCGTTCTAAAATCTGTATTTTATATATTATTTTTCAAATATTGTTTTTTACTATTATAATATCAACTAGTCCCCTAGTTGTCAATTTTTTTAATGTGTTCCTTTTCCCTGTATTATTAAAGTGTAAATTTTCTCGTATCATTTCTTTGATGAAGTTTCGTATTAAATTTTTCTTAATATAACATTTTCAATATATATATATACACACGCTCTGTTTTAAAAATCAGACCGGATCGGCCGGTTCAACCGAGAATCGTTGCATAGTCCGATTCAATCTAAACCGGTTGAACCGCTACTAATGAACCGGCCAGAACCGCTGAACCGTTCGAACTGGACCGGCTGAAAACCGGAAAAAACCAGAAATTTTTTTAAAAAAAAAAAATTAAACCAAACGTTGTTTGTTAAACGAGCCAAGTCGAACTCGAGTATTGCTGAGCTATACTCGAACTTGAAAACTTTAAAAGTAAGCTCAACTCCACTCAAACTCACAAGTTAAAAATTATCAAGTTCAACTCGAACTCGAAATATAATATTAAAACTTGAACTCAAAAAGGCTTGAACTAAAAAAAATTTAGAAGTTCAATTGAAGCCTAAAATTCGAGCTTGATTGAAGTGAAAGAATAGTACACTCAGTGCTCACCAAAAGGCTCCATGATTTTGAATGTCAAATTACCTCTATTATTTATAGAAGTTAATTGTGATGCTCTTCTATGTTTCTTAGCAATGTAGGATTGTTTTGTTCTCATATATTTACTCTTTAGATTTTTGGGATGCTCTTCTATGTTTTTTAGCCATGTGGGATTGTTTTTTAAAAAAAAATAAACCAAACAATATCATTTGTTATGATTTTTTAGCCCCAAATTTATTTTTAATTATAGTTATATAATTATATTATTATATATATGTTTTACCTTAAATATTATGTTGTAATTAATTTGAATCATTTTGTTTCACTTGATTTTATGGTTTTTAATTTATATATGTTATGACTTGCTTTGAATATGACTTGTGATATAAAAAATTATTTTTTATTAAATATTTTTGGTATTTTTATTTAATTTTTTAAATAATTATGACGTCGTCCGGTTCTTCCGACCGATCGGACCGATTCGACCGGTTGAACCAGTGAACCGGTAGTATGGCCGGTTCGCTAACCGGTCCGGTTCTGAAAACCATGCACACACGTGATAAGATTTAATTATTTTGTGGAATTTTTTTAACTTTACATAAATTTAATTATGATAATTAGATGAGTGAAATTAAATAGTTGAGATTAATGGTAGAAGATAAAAAGATATCCACTTAAAAAACAAATCAAAAAGTTAATCTCAGCAATAAGTGTTAAAAAATACTTGACCTAAATTATCTAACCCGTTGGCCCACCGACTCAGTCTAAAATTACTGGGTATTTTAAAGGTTAATAACCGATTTTGCGGGCAGGGTGCCTGACTTATTATTTTTGGCGGGTTTCCGGGTCGGGTTCGGACCACAAATTTTTCCTTAACTAAGTACCCGCCTACTCGGCTCCTTTTTCTAATTTTATTATATTTCTGTTTTAAATTAGATTTTTCATTTTAATTTTAAAAATTATTTTACCATAACATTCTAAATCTTAATGTTTTTCAAATTATTTCACCTTAGTACTTAAATTATTTATTTTAGTCTTATTATTTTAAATTTAATTGTAACTTTATAATTTTAATTTATATTTTTATATTTTATTTTTAGATTATATAATTTGAATTTATAAATTTTATGTTTATGTTATGTATTCTAAACTTTTTAATTTATAAATTTTTATGTGAAATTTTCTTTAAAAAATAATATAAATTAATAAATTAAAAATAAATATTAATCGAGTATTCGTGAAACGAAAATGCGGGTATCCGACTTACAGATACCCGTCTCTTACGGGTCGGGTCATGGGCCGAATTTTCGTGACCGACATTCGGGTACCCGAAAATGCGGCTACCCGAATTTGAACACCCCTAATCTTCGTCATCTATTTTCACTTATCCATCCATCAATAATATGTATAAAACTACTTAAAGTAAAAATACATTTTCATATTAAATTTTATTTTTCTTATTTTAAAATAAATTATCTATTAAAAATACTTGGCACAAACCAATTTATATTAGTAGTTAAAGGAATAGTAGTTATTCCTACAGGTCTCAGATTTAAACACTAACGATTATATAATATTTAAACGTTTATTATTAAATAATTAAAAATATCTATAAATATATTATCACTTTTAAGCCCCCTATATTAATAATAAAAGAACACTTGCAGTTGCAAAATTAAGATAATTGCGTAAGATTGTCCCCAGACTATGATTTGTAATCATCCCCATATTATGAGCCTCATTCAAATCTGATACCTAAACTTCAATGCATGGTATATTAATCCTTTTTCTGTATTATAGAGTAAAAACAAAACAAAATATTAATAAATAGGGTAAACTACAAGTTTAGTACTTAAACTATATATTTTTTTGTTTTGATACTTAAACTTATATTTTTTTCAAAATCATACATGCCATTTAATTTAAATTTCAATTTGGTATCCTAATATTAAAAGATAAACATAACTACTGATGTGATATTCTTTAATTTTTTCAATAGTTCACAGCATTACCTTCTGGTGTCATTTCAGTATCGTCGTTAAGTTTTTAATGCTGGGATATCAAATTGAAACTTAAATTGAACGTTAGATATGATTTTGAAAAAAAAAATGTTAGACATCAAAATAGAATAAAAGTAATAATTTAGGTACTAAACGTGTAGTTTACTACCCTAATAATATTTGGCGCGTGGATTAAACCACGTGGAAGTTTTAGGCAGAGGCAGATGACGTCACGCATTAACCTTATTCCTTTCGTATCGGGCACAACCTCTGTTCTTTTTCCTCTTTTCCTTTTTAAAATTATATATCATTCCTCAAAGTCTAAAATAAAAGAGAAGTGCAATCCCAACCGGAGTTACAGCACCGCCTGCGTCACTTTCTCTCTTAGTTACCCTCCAAATTTTCCCGAGAAACAAACACAGTCTTGGCTAGAACTCTCCGATTGTTTATTTGTTTCTTCCATACCATCCCGTGTTTATCCATTTGCTTCGCTTTAGCATAAGGAAAAGAAAAAAAAAATTCTGATCAAATCTTTTTTCGTTCTTCGTTGGATTATAGATTTCAAGGCATTTTCATTTACGAATTTGTTTGGGATAAAGAATATGACAATACAACAGCAAAATCAGGGCCAGCAATCGAGAGTTTTCCAGGACCTGTCGGCGCTGGTTCTGAATCTTCTACGAGTGCCTACCACGGCGGCGGAGATGTTTTTCTCGGAGCAATCACCGGCATCGGAGATGAGGCGTTATCCCCGGACGATAACGCCGGCGGGAGTCGGATGGCTGATGCTGGGGATATCTGTTTCGATGATGTTTTGTGGATCGATTGCTTTCTTGATAGGGTTGATGTTGATGCCTTGGGTTGTAGGCTTGGCCATTGTTCTTTACCTTGCTGGATTGGTTTCAACTGTTTCCACATTGGGCCGTTCGATTCTTTGTTATGCCATTGCCCCTCTTTTGCCGCCAAAGGACATTCCTGGTAATTTTTGTTGGTTTGTTTCGATTAATTCTTTTTGAATATTATGATGGTGCAGGTTTGGGTTGATGATTATATTGAATTACACATCAAATTTCCCCTCTATTTTCATCATCTCCTTCACGATTCCATGGATTGTTATACTGCACATCTCTGAATTTCAGCAGTCGTTTATCCTCATCTGCATTGCAGCATGACAAAACAGGGTTTAGTCAGAGAGTTGAAATAGCCTGGACAATGGAACAGCATTTGATTTCTTGTGGGTCTGTCTGCTTACTGAGATATGTAGCTTCTTTTTATAATATTTCTTTTTACATTTTATATCTTCTAAAATTCTATTTTTTTTATGTGAATAGGAATTTAAATGAGATTAGCCGTCATAAATTATTCAAGTTCGATTTGATTAAAATTCAATTAACATTTAATTTAGATAGACTTACCTTGACTCGAATTATTGAAATAAACTATTCACTACTCAACTCAAAAAACTCATAAATAATTTAAAGAATTAAAAATTAAACATTTATATATTATTTAAAAAATACAATATAAAGTTTCATGTATTTAAAGTTTAAATTTGAATTTAAATTTAAATTGAGTTTATGTGAGACTGTTTCAAACTCAAATCAAACATTAATTTTTAGTTTTGTTTTCGAGCATGAATCGATAATTTTAAACTTTTAAACTTTTGAATCGAATTTAATTTTATATTTTTTGAGTTAAATTAAACTCCACATTACTTAGTGATTGAGTGACTCGATTCTTTACCGTCCTAATGGTGAACTCAACTTAATTAAGAAACTATTTGTTTCACTGTAATTGATTTTTCAAAAAATAAATTTTGAAAATTGAGGATTTTTTACCAAAAAATCATCCTATAAATAAAATATTACCTGTCAGGAATTGTTTTCCAAATATGACTCAATCTAACACCCTAGAGAAGGAGGCACGTTCAATGAAACACGCTTTAGGAGGATCGGAGGGTAAGGTACGATTGGTGGGAAGTACCTTAGCTGAAAATTGTCTGACACGATGATATCCCTGTAAGGCGCATCCCATGTGACGCACCTTCCCATTCCTGCCCTGAACTCCCATCAAATTCTCCTACCTATTTCCCCCAAACGGTTGTCTATATAAACCCTTTTCCCCAACTCAAATAAATCATAATTAAATATCTCTCATTTCTATATATTTTCAATCTAGTAAGGTATAATTGTTTTTATAATTTATTTTTTATTCATTAAAATTTTTATAATTTAAGTAATTAATTATTTTATTATAGTATTTATTTTTTATTTAATTATTTAATTCTAAACTTATTTAGTTAATTGATATTTATTAATTGTAGTTAAAAAATGGAAGGCACGTTGTTGCGATTGGATACTGATCATATTTCGAGTCATTTTACCGATACGATAAGAATACAAAACTGTATTGTTTTTAAATTTATGAATATTATGAAATTGATTATATATTATTTAAATTATTAGAATTTATTTATTTGAATTTATTTAAATAATTTTGAAATCGTAATTCAAATTTTAATGGTTAGAATTTATTTGTTAGAAAAATGATCGTATATTAGAAGTTTTTATTCGCCATATTTGTCTATGGTTAGATTCGGTTACTTAGCAAAAATTGAAGGAGGGTGTAAACTTGAACCCGCTCTGATTTTTGCACTAATTGAGAGATGGAGGCCAGAGATACACACATTTCATCTACTATGTGGGGAGTGTACCATTATGCTAGAGGATGTTTTAATGTAACTAGGGCTCCTGGTCGATGAAATTGTCATTTGTGGTGTGGCATATGATGATTAAGGGTTTTATATAGGGAATATCTTGGAAGTTGTCCGTCCAATTTCAACGGTGGTCGAATAACATTACGGTGGCTAAAAAGTGAATTTAAAGAGTTGCGCGAAAATTGTTCGGAGGACGAGGCAAAAGCATTTGTCCGGACATATTTACTACAACTCATTGGAGGTATATTGATGCTTAACAAATCTTGGAACCAAATCCATTGCATGTGGTTGAGGCACCTAATCGATTTTGAAGTAGTCGATATATTGAATTGGGGGTCTGCAATGTTAGCATTTTTGTTTAGAGAAATGTGTTGGGCTACGAATTATAAGAAGACTGCTATTGGCGGTTGTCTCATGTTTCTCCAATTGTGGGCATAGTACCGTATGCCTTTTTTGTGTTCGATCGTGAATGAGCCATATGTCTTTTTGTTAATTTCAAGGTATCAATAGTAAATTTATTTTAAATAATATTTTCGATTATTATATAATGATATATAGGTGGTCAAGTAATAGGAAAAATCATTGTGATATCCCACAAGAATTACAAGATATCCTATTACTCATTTATCAGAAAGCTAGTGTAGAGGTACATTTTTTAATTTTTATTTTTATTTATTTGTATTTATATAATTTGAATCTCATTTTAATTTTGACAAGAAATCTATATTTTTTAGTTCAAATGGTTGTCATATTTGGACGACGAATTAAGGGTTTGAATCTTACCTAACTTGAGTGGGATATTGGATGTATGGGTGGCGATTGCGCCCTTTATTTGTTATGCTATTGTTGAGTGCCATTCGACTGATCGCGTGCTTCGTCAGTTTGTGTTTACACAATTTATTCCAAAAGCAACAAGGAACCTCTACAATATGTATAATATCGATAGATGGGGCAAGAAAGAGGTGAATTGGTTGGTGAAGCATAGAGAGTGGTTGGCGATATGAGAGAATCGGAATCAACGCTTGCATTATTGACATTATATAACAAAAACTGATTTGATGGTTTTAGTTGGCTATATTGAATGGTTCAACGCAAACGAGAACTCATTCTTAATAGTGAAAGCATGAAGGGCGATAATTCTTCGTCACCGATAAAAACGTTACGTTACAACTTCGTTCCCCCACTACTGGACTAAGAGCAGGTGCTTCTGGATCATCGTTAACTATGCCAATGAAACCATCACACCAGAAACCAACAACACCGTTTTACATCCCTAGCCCTCTAATTCACATAGGGATACCACTTAACTTCCAGACGCCACCGCAACCGGTTCAGATACCACATCCGCAAGTTTAAATATCATATATGTCGGTTCAGATGCCATCACAGTTTGGTTACGTACAGAGCCTGCAGGGTTATAAGACAGCCAGTGGCATATATTTTTGACTATGTTTACGGATCCAACATTTAGTTCCTACGCGAATTATACTATGGGTGGTCATCCGCCTCAAACACCTCAACCGCAGTATGCATCATAAACATCGATGTCTGATTTTTCACAATTTTCGTAGTTCTCAACGAGTGGTGGGATCGTCCGTCATACACCTCCAGGGTCTTTATCCTATAGAGGTCATATATCGACATTCAATCCTTATCGAGGCAATGTTGTTGAGAGTGATGATGATGACAATGAGGAGGAGGAGGAGGAGGATGAGGATGATGGTGATGATGACGACGAAGATGAGGATGAGGTTGAAGATGATGAGGACGATGAGGAGAAGTATACAAGAAGAAATTCTCCTAGAAGTAGATGACCACCACCCTGTGGAACACATTCCAAGAGACATCGATGAATCTGACAACTATGTCAATCTTTTTATTTATTGTGTGTTTATTATGTATTTGCCTTTTATTTTTTTCTTATATATTTATATATGAATTAAGATTTTTCCTTTTAATTGGTTTTTTTCTCTTATTTTGTTTTGTTATTATGTATTTATATAAAGTGCGTTTTTGTATGATGTTTAATATCTTTTTGCGAACAAGGACAAACAAGACACAATAATTTGGGTAGGCTCGTTTTTAGGACCCTTCCTAAGGCCTATATATATGTGTGCGAGGTGAAAGCTAATTTTAATCTATTCAGGCAAAATCTTTAGTTGTTTAGTTAGGATGACTACTATTCAGACAAATGTTTTTCTATTGCAAATATTTAAGCATGTCTTTTAATAAAAAAAAAATCAATTGAGGAGTTGAAGCTTAAAATAGGAAGAAAGGTTAAACTCGGGAGAAAAAGAAGAATCTCTTTATTATATTATAGATTGTCAGTATCACTTAAGAGGTTTCTTCTAAGCGATGATGTCAACTTTTATGGTATAATTGAGACATACTACTATCATTTTGTATCTCATGTAGATTTTTTTTGTAGAGTTTGAGGATGTTGACGTTGATGGTTTGAGTTTGACTACCTAACAAATTAAGCAGAATGAGTTCGAGAACACATAAATATATTATGAACACCCTGAAGCATGATTCAAACGTAATTGGGCATCGTAACATCATTAAGAAAAATCTAGTTTAGGTGTATGGGTATGCTTTCATTTACTGTTTTAGGTGTATGTGTTTATTTACAGTTTAAGGTCTGTGAAAGATATGTGGTATTTCTGGTTCGTTGGTTTGGTATGCTTCATGTCATATTTAATAGTTCGTTGTTTAATATAATGTTTATGATTTGTTTTTTTACAATTCATATTTATAACAAATCTCATATTGAATTTAACTAGTCCTACTAAGAATAAAATCCATTACATTATTGCTTTCACGATTTCAGAAACAATAAAATCAACCTCTAAATCTATCATTACATGAGCACTATGTTTGTGGAATCTTTTCGATGTACGAAACCGAGAAAATTTTGGCAATAGTTGATATAGTCATGCTTTTGCAGATGAAAAGCTCTTTTTGCTTCATCTTTGTATGCTTTGGGTTTAGGCTGGACAACACTTGATATCATTCTTGCAACCTATCTTTTATGTTATACAATCGTATGCCTAAAGTGTAAGTTGCTTCGATGACAGCCATGGTAAAGATGTGCTTCAATATATGACAACCAACTTTAACATTGGCATAATATTTGGAAAAACACTCAACTATACATTCCCTGAACAATGCATCTGGATTTTTGGAAACATAAGCCTTTCGTACGAGCAATCATTCAGAACAATCCAAAGGTTTAAAGGCATACCAATGAAGTCGAACATTTGTAAATATGAATGTGTAATTTGATGCCAACCAAAAGTCCCAGCAAGTTAAACAAAGGTAAAGAAAGTCCTCAATAGAATTAGAAGCAACGCAACTTAAAATATCAGCTAATATATCATTTAGGAGATAAGATGATGAATATTTAGCTGCCATTGAAAATGATGGAAAAATCTATAAAAATGATAAATAACATAATTAGAAAGATACACGGAAGACAAAGTATCGAGGACCACTTGCTTCATCTCCCATATATATAGTGTCTAAAGCTGGATAAGATAAAATATGTAGAAAAAGAAATGCGCTTTTTAATGGAAGTGTTTTCCCCATTTTCAGAGAATCTATGTCATGTCCTAGATTTTTCCATTATTATTTAGAGAATCTCTGTTATGTCATAGTGTTTCACCTCATTCGAAATGAAAGGCTCATTCCAGGTGAAGCATTTTCCATTATTATTCAAAAATCTCTGACATATCATAGTTTTCCATCCCATCTGAAATGAAAAGCGTGTTATAGGGGAAATGTTTTCCATTATTATTAAGAGAATTTTTGGCATTTCACATAATTGACATGAATTGTTCCCCTACCCTCAATATCTTAAACTCTTCAATTTTAAAACTATGTATATTTGAAATCTCAAACTCAGAAACGTTCAAACTTTAAAACTCTCAAACTAAGAAAATGACACCTATTTCAGATGTTGTTTACTATGATATAGAAATTGGGAAAGATGAATACGAGGTTGTTTTTCGACCAGATCACTATATCATTCTATCCTTAAGGAGAAACATCATTCTTCGCGATTTAATCACAAAAATCTCAAGGAATGCTCGTGTTGGAAACAATAGAAGACTGGCTACACTTCAGTACATATTTTTTATTGAAATTTTTTCGTTAATATATACATCGTTCAATCTCTCAAACGACGACGATGTTACTATAATGGTTGATGCTTCCAGTCAAATTTGAACTCTATTATAGAAATGTATGCCATTTTTGTTGATGTGCATCCAGTTTGGGGTATATTCTTCTCCTCCCCCTATGGCTTGCCTGAACTAGTTGATCAAGTTGACAGTCCAACTCAAACAATATGTAATGATTTCACGTCATTAATGGCTAACCCACCTCCTATTAGCATACCATCAAGTTTTAGGGGGAGACATTCATCTATCACTTTTTTCGACATCAATATAGAGATGTCTTCCATTTCTAGGGGGAGACATTCATCTGTCAGTACCTTCGACCTCGATATGGAAATATCTTCCACACAACACTTAATTTATAACCCATATGGCGGCATCCCTTCAAGTTCCAAAGATATTCATTAATCTGCGAACTTGTTCGAACTAAACGTCAGAGTCACAGAAGAACCCTCATCTCCTCCAAAAGAACCTCTTCGTGAGCCAAGAGCATATGATGTTGAAACTGGATTGTTCCTTGAACCCAAGTCATCACAATTCAACATTAACTCTAATGATGATGCGGATGAAGTTCCTATAAATATGGTACAATACGAACCTTCAGCACATATGTATGAAACTGACTATTATGCGATGTACTGGCCATAATTTCCTTATATGCCTCATCTTAAAACCTACGGGAGGCATTCATTAGTTAATGATGGTGATTTATATCGTGGAATGGAGTTCACATCTAAAGAAAAAGCAATGATGACAATTAAGAATTACAATATTCGTAATTTAGTTCAGTCTAGAGTCGACCGATCTACCACCGAAAAATATATGTTATTATGTCCAACGTGATAGCGGCTGCAACTGGATGGTTCGTGTTAAAAGAGGAAGTAGACCGACAAATGAGAACTAACAAAATATAGTGGTCCTCATACATGTTGTGCACAGAGGATCATCCAGGACCATCCAAAATTAGACTCCAACGTGAATTGCCAAGCCATTGGTCAGAACAAGCTCCCACATACCTATTGCAGTGTTGATTTCTACAATACAATCTCAATATGGCTACACCGTCTCCTATAAAAAAATATGAAAGGAAAAACATAATGTCATTATAAAACTACACGACGAATGAGATTCATCTTACAACGAACTACCCAATTGGTTTAACGTGGTTCAACGACTGAATCCTGAGACAGTAGTTGAGTTCAAAACTCGCCATGCCTACCATAATGATCGAGTTCTTCGAGATCGATGCCAATTCCACCGTGTTTTTTGGACTTACCCACAATGCATTAATGCAGTGAAATACTGTGAACTCATTGTCGAAATTGATGATACATTCTTGTGATTTCATTTTCTTTTAATTTCAATTAATGTGATTTCAACTTGTTTATTTTACAAGATGCCCTTTTCGAATATCTATATTTTTTTAATTAAATGTTTAACGTTTTTTTCTTACAATCTAACATAGAATCAACTTTAACCGAAACCCTACTTTAAAAACACTAACATTCTAACATACAATCAATTTTAACCCTAAACCATACAAATATAATACCTTAAAACACTAAAAACCCTAAAACCAATTACGAAAACCCTAAAATCACTTTAACGTAAAACCCTAAACATAAAACCACCCTACACAAAAGGCGCGTTCCCTTAGATGTGTCATTCATAAAACCAATGGAAGGCGCGTTTCATGCGACGCACATTCCCTCCCCTCCCCTCGGCTAAGGCATGTCTACTACTGTACGCCTCCTTTTTCTCTCCTAAAAAAAGGTGTTAGATCGATAAATAGTTAAAAAAAAGTATTTGATAGATATTATTTTTTTAATAGGGAAATTTTTTGAGTGAAAAATCCGAAAAATGAATTACAATTTCTAAAGAATGCATTCTAGAAAGTATTTTCTGATCAAATTATGTCGTGTAATTCATTTTCCGTTGTTTGATAATATTTACAGAAAATATTTTATGAAATTTGTTTCATAATAGTTTTTTTTATCTTTTATTTGTAATTGAATTAATTTTATTATTATAAAATTATTATTGTTAAATTTTTATATATAATATTTTATTTTTATAAATACATTAAACTAAAATTTAATATGGTTCATTCTTTTCCATAAATGTAGAAAAAATGAATAGCTTATGTAAAATTTAAAATTTTTAATCTCAATCACTAAACTTAATTAATTCGGTAATCCAAAAAACATGTAAAATTTGAAAATATTATATTATATAAGCGGATTCATAACCTGAAAAGTTTCGAATGAAATTGAACCTCTATATCCTATTGATGAAGAAATAATAAAATCAACTTTGGACCCGAAAGAAATCATACAGTGACAAATAAACTATTAAATTTTATTACCAAACCTCAATCTTAAAACTTTAACCCCAAATACAAACTCCAAATCTCAAACCATCGTCGGCAGTTTTCTCCCCTCCTTTAAACCAAAATTCTAAATCTCAAATTACAGACTCCTTTCATTCTTATCCTGCCACAAAGATAGAAGACATGTAAAATAAATAAATAAAAAGCTTTAGATTATTCGAAATTTAGGGTTTGAGGTGTATTCTTGTTAAAAGAATGACAAATTTGAGAGTCATTGATCTCCGACAAAATCGACAGGTAATGATTAGAACAACAATTGACATGGTAACCAGAATCTGATTTTATTGAAGTTGGGGAGAAAAATAGAGAGAAAATGAGAGAATAAGGAAGAAGAAGAAGGAATGAAAAATGGAAAACTTTTAATTATTGAGGAATGAGCCCATGACCTTACCAAAACACATAAGGGTAGTTTGGTTCACGACATGTAATATTATTAGGGGAATGAAATTTTTATTTCCTGTTTAGTTGGTCGAACATTTTATTTTCGATAATATTTTATTATCAACAGTATATTTTTTTAGATATATTACTAAAAACGTGATTACTTCTTCTCTTAAATATTATTAGATTATCGATATTTTAGACTAAAATATCTTTATTTTTTTTAAATTATTCATCTTCTATTATTAAATAATAAAAATTTTAAAAATATTAAATTATAAATATATCCTTAAACTATTTTAACTTTACAAAAAAAATCTATAATTATAATTTTATATAAAGTTTAAGAATTAAAATAAAATTTTACCCTTCTATTAAACTCATTTATCTTTTTAATTTTATAAAAAATATATATATAAATTTTATGAATTTAAATTTTTTAAAAAATATATATAAATTAATTATAATAATATTATAATAAAATTTAACTTATTAAAAAATAAATATATAATAAAGATAATTTGATAAAATATATATTCTAATAATATTTTATTCCTTTAACCTAACACGTAATCATACATTTCTACTAAATCAACTAAACACAAAAATACAACATCCTAACCTATTCTCTAGTAAATTTTTATTTCCGCTTATAATCTTACATTCCTTTATTTTCACTTATAATCTTACTTCATTTAATCAAAGGCTAAGTCGTTTTACCGTGTAAGTCGGAGGAATGAGCCCATGATCTTACCAAAGCACATACGGTAAGTTATTTTACCGTGTTTTAACATTTTTTTTTACTTTGACCGTAATTGATTTTCCTTCAAACAAAAGGGGAAAGTGTTTTGAGGAAAATGTATTCTTCAAACAAATGGGTTATTTTCACCAATCATTTCTATTAACTTGATTACAAACATAAACCCCCCAGGGTTAAAAATAACATTAACCAATCAAAAGGGTATTTAAAGCCAAAACAAAGAAGAAGAAGAAGAAACCAACATTAAAAGCGACCAAATCTTATAAAACAAAAGTGTAAAGAGTGTGGTTATCCAGTGTAGATGTGGACACCAATGGCGACGAGGAAGATAGTGATGAGTCCGAAGAAGATGACAGTATGGACGAGAATCGAAACCCCACTGGTTTGCATGTTCCCAAACTCTACCACTTTGTTTCTACCCGGCAACTGAAACAACAGTCCCGGGCTTAAAAGCACAAACAGCACCACCGCTATCACCACCGGTCCCCAATCCGCCATGGAAGAAAGGAAGGGAAAGAATGAGAGAAAGATGAATGAATTTGATATTAGTTCAAAAGGCCAATATGGTAATGAAAATAAATACATGAATGTGTGTGCGTGTCTACATCGACATCGTGCTTTCTGGAAAATGGTGGCAGTATTATGGCGACGTGGCATCATTATGGATCGTCCGTCGCTTTCCAGTGACTGTGAATTCCGATGCTATATCTTTTGCTAATATAACACTCCTTCCCTTACATGATTGATGTTAGTAAGGGTTAATTGCATAAATACTCTTTTACTTTTTCATTCTTGCCAATATAGCCACCTAAGCTTCTGGTTTGATTTCCTCCGAACCAACGATTCAACTTTCAACTCCTCAACCAAGACATGTTGTTTTATTCCCTCTAAACCAACCATTCAACTTTTGGCCACCTAAGCTTCCCTTTCCGAAACTTCACACCTCATATGCTGGAGGAGAAAATGGAAATCATGGGATTAGGGGTACTCAACAATGGAACGAGAGGTGGGTGGAGACAGTCGTTTCCCTAAAAATTTCACTCGTATGTATATTTTGGCATCAACAATCTCAGCATCTTCTTCTTCAAGTTTTCCTACTTATATTTACAAAATTTCCATCAAACCATATGTATGAACCAAGAGCTTGTACACCAACGAATTGTTTCGAGACTTTTATCTACATAGGAGTTGTATTTAATGATGTTGGATTTGTTGCAAGCCTGTAACGAGAATTGTAATTCTAATGTGACGTTCTACAAAAATGATCTAGAAAAATAAATTTTATGGATTAAATCACTATTGTGAGTCTTTGATAATGAATCTGGCAAAAAAATAATTTGAATCGAATATGATTTAATTCAAAATTTGAAAGACAAACGTACCAAAAAGAAAGTTTGACAGCTAACATATGAAGATGAAAGTTGAAGAGTAGAGTGCAAACAAGGACAGTTTTCACGATCATTCCATTGATCACCGTGCTTAAAATTTTATGACTAAAAATTTTAAAATCTAAATTACGATTAATTATATCTCTTTTAATAAACAATAAATTAATATTTCTATTTCCATTACTTTACGGAGGGCATTTCATAATTCGGAGGTCTCTTACGGAAGTTGTTCTCAATCTGATGTTGGGGTAGCTTACTATCTTACCTCCTCCTTACCCTATATATATATGGGAAAAATGGATAGTCATTTTTTTTACATATTTTTTTATTAAGCTAATTATAAGAAACTGATCAGTTAGTTGCGTTCTGCAGCTTCTTTATGTAACAAAAAAATATATATTATAAAATAATATTTGTTCTAACTACTCTCAATTATTTAATAATAAACATTTACTCATCTTACTACAGTCGTTGACGTTTGGACTCGTGATGTCTAGAAATAACTTGTCATTACCAATTTCTAATACACACAACATAAAATCGTGGAAAATTCTCTCCTTAAGCAACTTTTGCTTGCATGCATATGAAATTTTCTTTTAGCAAAAGATTAAATAATACAAACGATTTAATGTAGGGACTTCGTCTAGTGGAATATTTTAGGATTAAAAGTTAACATCAACATTAACAACTTCATTTAAAAAAACTTCATATATAAAAATAGGGTAAATTATTTAAATTATTATATTCTAAATAAAAATATAAATAAAACATTAAATTGAAAATTATAAAAAACAATTAATTAATGTAAACAATATTTATTTTAAATAATTAATTTATATTTTTAAAATTTTAATAAATTTTTATAATCAAGTTACTTATGATATAATCTAGGGTAAAATACACGTTTAGTACCAAAACTATTAATTTTAGTTTGTTTTTTAAATTTTTTAAAATTATATTTAAAGTTTAATTTTTATTTTATTTTAATAAATATTTGATTCTTGTTCTATTTTAGTACTTCTCTTTAATATTTAACAATTAGTTTTAATAAATTAAAGATTTAGGTATTAAAAATGATAAAAATTATTATTTTAAATACTTAGTAATGAGGTATTCAAATAAAATGAAACTAAATATTAAATATATTTTTAAAAAAATATAAATATAAATATTAAAACAGGCTCAAATTATATTAAATACACAATTTACCCTATAATTTACATTAAAGAAAATCCACCGCTAGGATTAGACCTTTTCGAAAACTACAACATGAGCCAGTGGATCAGAGAAGCTCAGATCATTGCCGACTGACCTCAACTTCCCTTGCTTTATTGTCTTCCCTTCTTTTCATATAGCTTTATTGAGTTTTGACTTCCGACTGCGGAACTCTCTAATCCAAATAAATATCATTAACCATAACTTTCATCCACCAAAAGTAGTGAAATTTCCATTTCTCAACCTTATCCAATGGAATCCGGTGAAGATATCGAACTGATCAACATGGCAATCCAGAAACTCTTAGAAGAAACCAGAATGACAGATATCTCTGGTGAAAAACCCCTTGGAAACGACGACAATCAGCTCCTCTCCAGATTATTCTCTCAGGTGATAAAATCTGAACTTTTTCATCCACTCACCAAACCCATAGTTTCAAATCCCCAGAAAAAAATGGGTTTTTCTTGTTCTTGATGAAAACGAAAAGAAACTAATGTTTGCTTACGGATGTTGAACAGTTAGAATCATTAAAAGAAGATGGCAAGCTGAAGCAATCCGAACCAGGGGAGGTTAATTCTCAAAAGGGTGATGGTGATAAAGCCGAGGCAAAAAGTGAAAACGGCACTGCATGTGGGGGAATCGGTGTCGAAGAATTAAGGAAAGAGATTAAAGAGTTAAAGAAGCAGAATTTTATAACCCATTGCCTTGTTTCGGCCATGATCGTCATCGCTTTGTTCTGGCAAGTGTCAGAGGCATCCCTCCTCCTCAAGGTTAAAGATGGCTTCTCTCACCCTTTTAGTTCATTTGGAAGTTGGCTTGTTAACAAGGTTAAAAGACCTGCAAACCAACAACATAATCACCTTATTGAACATTCGGGCCACTCTGTTCAAATTCCCGAGCTTCCCCATGTTGAGTTTCCTCACCTGGGATCGAGTGGTGAAGGATACTGAGCCATTGAAGGTTTCAACAATGGCAGCTTTTGTCTTCTTCTTGTAAGTCTTTGTTTATCATCTTTTTATTCTGTTAATCCTGTTGGAATGTAAGTAGAGAAGTATGGTGATATAACACAATTTCAACTATGATATAATCAGATAATGACTTTCATCAACTCAACCAATCACAACTAGGAAGTCACTGAAATATGGAGAGACATAGAAACCATAATGAACCATGAAGAACATAAAATTTTCAAATTTTGATTTAAGATGCCTAAAACAAGCAAAAGTGTTTTAAATCCTCGACATTGTATTACCGTCCATTGATTACTCGTAGTGATTATGTCTACATACGAAGTTCAACCTGAATATGTCATTCAACACATCGAAGCTTCCTTGTGTTGACATCAAATGAAACATCTGAAAGCGGAATGCAAGACAAGGATACATAGGTTAGTGAAGTTGATAATGAAAAGTTATCCAATGCTCTTACAAACAAAACGAATAATATCTCTGCAACAAAAAACGGTTAACTATAAACACAGATGAAACATGTACAAGTAAGTAATAAGTTGGCTTCAAACAGGGACCGAGGTGGTTGGCGGGTGGACCCTTTCATGGTATAAAATCACTCTCTTTCCAGTTCCAAATGGAAGACATAAGCCACAACGGAAATCGTCAATGCCTGTCGATGAAGAGAGAGGTCGAAGTGGATTGTCTTTCATATCCTACAGAGTCCCAAGAAACAACGTCGAGAGAGATGGCGGATAACTGTTTAGGGTGAGCAATGAGAGCACCCTCCATCACTTAATCATGCGAAAAACGTGAGTGAAGAAAATGAAAAGAATACTAGCAAATGATGCTTGTCCTGGGATAAAAAACACACCATGAAACGGAATAAAGCTCTCGAATGCAGTCTATACAGTAGTCATCATATTGCTTGCGCATTTTATACAACTAAGACTCGAGGAATGCTCAAGGCAAGAGGATAGCAATACCGAACAGCGATAGGGTACAGAAAAAAAAATGCAGCAGGTTCATTGGATCGGTGGTAGATCCAAAAACAAAATCCATATCTTCCAAAACGTATTCATGGCACATCAATTGAAATCAGGTATATCGCCTAAATAACTCTTTTTACCCTTCTTAAACTAATTAATATAGACTGAAAATGAATGAAAAACGTATAATTCCTGAAAATGTAATCATAAGCATGTCAGATGAGCATTAAGGGCTATAGACATCACAGTTTTAAATTCCCACTCCAACTTGCGTCAGATCGAAACATCAATTTACAGGACCCATTAATAATTGCATGCGAAATTAAAACCGATGGTATAATCGATGAAATCAACAGCATAGATTAACCATAGATCGATCATCTACGTAAGCATTCAAGTCCTAAAAATAGAAAAGAGAAACGAATAGAAGACTAGGAAAAATTACCTGGCTGAACTCGAGAGCATGCTGTTCGCCTGCGAGTTGGAGGTTACCACTGACGAAGGCGAGCATGCCGCCGGAGCCGGAAGGTTGGCAGTCGACGGTGGTGATGTAGCTGGAAAGGAAGGCTGGTGAGCTTAGCAACGATGTTATGAGAGCCCTGGATCTTTTGACCTTGGAAGGTCAACGTGGAACATTCCTGGTAGAGATTGGCTAAACCGGCCCGGTCCGCATCGACACCTAAAAGTGTAACGAATAAAATGTTAGGTATCTATTTTTAACAAATAATTCTTTAAGCATCAAAAGTCAATTTGAGATATAATTTAAGCACCTAAAAGTGTATTAAACCAAAAAAATAAACGAATGTTGATATTTTGCTATTTATAGGGTTTTCTTGTTTTTTTTCTATTAATCTAGATTAAGTATAAATCAATATATGTTCAGAGATAACATTCAACCTTCTTTTAACGTAGAGGCCACTTGATTCGTACAATCTTAAATAAAATTAAAAATTATTATTCAATGGGTGTAAACATAGAATTAGTATTTTATATAAAAAAGAATTATCACTCGTGATCATTTATTGAATATATCATTTTATAAAATAATTTTTCACGCACACAATGAGTATAACAAAATCAATTATCTATTAATATTAACCTTGTGTGTAGCATGTTACATGTTAATTAATATATTTAAAATATTATAAAATATATTTATTATATAAACAATTATATGTTTGATTTTGAATTCATATTTTTCAATTAGAGAAAAATGTGTAGATGTGTTACTTCTTTATTTTTTTTAATTAAAATATTTTGGTTTGTGTGCGTCATGTAAGATAAAAGTATACTATCAATTTTATTTTTAAAAAACGTCTTTGTATTAAGTGAGATTAATTGATATTATTTTAAAAATTAATAAAAGAACAATTAAATTGAGAAATTGTGTTTTAAGAATTTTTTTGAATAAAAAATGTCAAACGAAATTCATTTCTTTTAAATTAATTTTTTCTATTAGTATTTTTTTTGACAAAAAGACCACTGGGTAAATATTATTAAATTAAATACAACAACAACAACAAAACTCTATTCTCATATGCAATGGGGTAAGGGGGAGGTAGGTTAGTAGGCTGCCCCCAACACCAGGTTGAGAGCAGCTTCCGTGGAAGACCTCCGGCAATTCAGAAAATTAAAAAAATACAAATTAAATACAATGCATGTATAAATAAATAAATAAATACATAGTTGAACAGTCTTCATATGCAGTTATTCATATGCGCGTCGGTAATGGGAAGTAATCCCTGCAAATAAACCCTGCCTAAAAATCTCTGCATATAGACAGAAAACGTAAGTCCTGGATTAATTTAAAAAGAGGAAACATGATGAGAAAGATACACGCATGTCAGCGCTAGCAAGCTACGAGAATGAATAAAGTCAAAATGGATTAAAACCTAAACTAAGGCAATGGAAATTACAACAAAGACAATTAAAAAGAAGACAAAGATGCTACACCATATGGTTGTTGACCCACACTACTCGGCTACCCTGGTCTTAAGTCTCCATACTTTCCTATCAGATGTCATATCCTCGGTAAGGGATAAATCCTTCAAATCAGATCTCAAGCAGTCTACCCACTTCCTCCTTGGTCGTCCTCTCCTTCTGGCACCGTCGACTGAAATCAACTCTACCCTCCTGACCGCATCCGATGGTTGTCGCCTAAGGACATGCCCAAACCACCGTAGTCTTCTCTCCCTTAATTTTTCAGATACAGGCACCACCCCCAAGGACATCCTAATAGCAGAGTTTGGTGTCATATCCCACAGAGTCCTACCACATGTCCATCGAAACATTCTCATTTCTGCGGCCTCCATCCTCCTTAAGTGATCCTTCTTGATTGCCCAACATTCTGATCCATACAACAGCGCTGGTCTTATTGCCATTCTATAAAATTTTCCCTTGAGTTTTAGAGGCACCTTCTTGTCACACAAAACCCCAGTAGCAGCCCTCCACTTTAGCCATCCCGCCTTTATACGGTGTGTAACGTCATCATCTACACCCCATCTTTATGTATCATAGACCCTAGGTACTTGAAACAATCCTTTGAGGGGAGAACGTGTCCTTCGATGCATATTTCTACATCTTCATCGTTTTGGTTCCCACTGAAGTTTGAACATAAATACTATGTCTTTTCAATATTGATCCTTAGACCTTTTTCTTCCAAAGCAGTCTTCCAGGTAGCAAGTCTTCTATTCAACTCATTTTTTGTTTCAGCAATTAGGACAATGTCGTCAGCGAAAAGCATACACCATGGAACACCGTCTGGAGTCGCACAATAGATGTCATCCATAATCAAGGCGAAGATGTAAGGTCTAAGAGCCGACCCCTGGTGGAGTCCTATTTTCACCGGGAATACCTCGGTGTCGCCAACTGTAGTCCTGACGTATGTAGTAGATCTAAAGTACATATCAAGAATCGCCCGGATATTAGCAGTTGGGATCCGTCTCGTTTCCAAGGTCTTCCAGATCGTATCGCGCGGTACGCTATCATACGTCTTCTCAAGGTCAATGAACGCCATGTGAAGATCTCTATTTTTTCCCTATATTTCTCCATAAGCCGTCGAAGTAGATGAATCACCTCCGTAGTAAACCTGCCTGGCATAAAGCCAAATTGGTTTTCTGAAACCTTAGTAACCTGTCTCAACCTAGCCTCTATCACTCTTTCCCATAGTTTCATGGTATGACTGAGTAGTTTAATACCTCTATAGTTACCACAATATTGGGGATCTCCTTTATTCTTATAGATTGGTATCACTATAGACTCTCTCCACTCCTCTGGCATCTTGGCATTCTCTAAAATAATATTAAAGATGTTAGTCAACCACTTAACTCCCTCTTATCCTAGGGTCAACCACACATTGATAGGAATTTAATCTGGACCGACAGCTTTGTCCCTCCCCATCTTTCTAAGGGCCATTTTGACTCCCTAATATTAAATTAAATAGGAAGAACTAAATAAGTCTCAAATTAAACAAGTCTGAAAAAGAGAAATGCTAAACAGTTGTACCGCAAAAAGGAAATAAATGAACAAACACCAAACTAAAGCCCTGGCCATCCGATCTCTCGATTCTCAGCATAGAAACAATGAGCGCATAGCAGCCGAGAGGACAAGAAGAAAAAAGAAAGAAACACGAGCTTTGTAACACCACCCCGTATCGAGATCAGAGTTCACGGAGGATCTACCCAACGATTTTCCACTGCCAATTGTTGTAAAACCCAGACCATCCTCAACCCAGTATTTATCCACCTGACCCAGAGCTAAATCAGTCGCTAATACGTGAGCCGTTTGGTTGCCTGAGCGAGGAACGAAGACGAACCAACTGCCTTCAAACACTTTGCCACGATGGCGAGCCTCCCAAGTAATCGCAGTTATTTCTAATCGATCTGGTTCCTCAATCTCCATTTTCTGAAGAACCGCTGGAGCATCTCATTCGAAAATCACCCAATGAAAACCCAGGTCCACCGAGAGTTCGATTGCATGCACCAGTGCCATTTCCTCCACCGCGAAAGAAGAGGTAATCCTTGAAGCTTT